TGCCCTTGCCCATGCTGTCCCTCTGTTTGAAATACTCCCCCTTGCCTATTACCTCCTACTGTGTGTGCCTGTTAAATTCCTCTCATCCTTCAAGACCAGCTCAAGCATCTTCTCTGAGATGTTTTCCCTGACACCCCCAAGAGGAGCACCCCCTCCTTTTTTGCACCACTGTATTGAACATAATTTCTCTTAAAACATTTTTTGTACACTCCACGCATTGTTTATATGACTGCTGTTACTTCTGAGCATAAGCTCCCTGAGAGAAGGAACTGTGTCTTACTCACCTTTGTATCCCTTGTTCCTAGTATATTGCCTGACATATTGTAGGTTCTCAGAAAGTGGTTTTTTGAAAGAATAAATCCCAAAAATTAACTCAGAGGATATTTTTTTAAAAGCATTTTCTTATATTTTTGGTGAAAAATGAACAACAAAACACAACCTTGTTCAACAATTTCTATACATAATGTTCACTGACATTGGTTACCTTCTTCACATTGTATCAACAGTCTCATTATTTCCATTATAGTTGTTTTACTTCTGTTAACTTAGTCTCATTGCCTCCCCAAATTCTCATATATGCTTTGGAGTAACTATTGTGCATTAGGTCTTATGTCCATAATTTTTAAAAAGAGTGCAGTATTCAAGGGGAACATTTTTCACTCTTTGAACTAAACTGCTATTTAATTTAAAGGGGGCATCGGGATAGTTTCACTTCAAGGTTTAAAGAGTATCTCAGGGCAATAGTCTTGGGGAGTCCTCCAATCCCAGTTGGTCCTGTAAGTCTGGATTCTTTAAGAATTTGAAGTTCTGTTCCACATTTTTTCTCCCATCAGAATCCATCTATTGCATCCCTGATCAGAATGGTTGGTAGTGGTAACCATGCACCATCTAGTTCTGGTTTCAGAGTAAAGGAGACAGTGGTTCTTGGAGACAATTAGTCCTATTGTCCAGTTCCTTTGCTAGGTCTTGGACATCCTTCTTTTTCTAGTGTTCCAGATGAATAGAGACCAATAGTGGTATCTTTGATAGCCACTTATAAGCTTTTAAGATGCAAGACATTACTCACCCAGCTAGGAAGTAGAACATAAACTTTAAAAACTGTATTATGCTAATTGACTGGATTGTTCTACAATTCCATGACCCTAAATCTTCAAACCAAGAAAACTGATCCTTTGAGGTAATGATTTATGTCTAAGGAGTATCAGTATCTATAGCCCCTATTTATCTGATTATATATATATATATATATAGGTTGTTGTAAAATTGTATATAACATAGATTTGCCAATTCATCTTTTTTCTTACATACTACTTGGTGGCATCAATTATATTAGTCAGGTGATGTAGACTTCACCCACATTCAGTGCCACCTTTTCCATCACCATAAACAGCAAGTGAATACTACCTAGGAAATAACTCCCCCACATCCATCTCTGGTAACCACCAATGAACATTGGTCTCTGTATACTTACCTGTTCTTGTAATTTCATAAAAGTAAGATCATGTAAGTCCTTTTGTGATTAACTTATTCCATTCAGCAAAATGTCCTCTAGGACAGTCATCCATGTTGTGAGATGATTCAAGATCTCATTTTTCTTTAAGCACTATTCCATAATATGTGTGTATCAGATTTTGTTTATCCATTCATGCATTCATGGGCATTTAGGTTATTTCCATCTTTTTGCTATTGTGAATAGTGCTGCAGTGAACATTGCTGTGCATATATCTATTCATGTTACTGCTATTAAATCCCTAGGGTATTGCAGTGTAGTGAGTTGCACAGTATGGCTTTTCTAGCCATGGTTTTTGTAACTCCCACCAGATAACTGGGTGGGACCATGCAAATATGTGTCAACTTGGCTGGGCAGCTGGTGGTAGTTATTTTCTATAATGAGACTGGCAATTAACTCTGTAGTGGAATTTGCCATGATCAACTGAGTAGCTGTTTTTAAACTCCTGATTGTTAAAGTCATCCACTTACAGGTATTTCTGTTGGAGCAGCACAAAGTAATCTGGGAAAGTTCTCTCTCTCAGGTGTGTAGAACTCTGATGTTGGAATTGGTTAGTTTTGCCATTCTGCCAGGCTTAAAATGAACCCTCCTAGAGGCAGAGGGGAAATCTCACTGCCAGCTGAGAGAGATGCCCGGCTGAGTGAGATGCCCAGCTGAGAGACAGTGCCAGTGGAACTAAGAGGCACGGGAGAGAGTGGCAGACTTACCTGGCCCACAGAGGCAGAGGTCAGTCATGATCGAAGAACTGTATCCTGAGTGTGTTTTTGAACTTGAATTGTAGCCTGTGGCTTGCCTAATAAACCCCATAATCTGTGAGTTCTGTGTGGCCACTTCAGCAAATTATCAAACCCAGCAAAGAGGTGGTAGTTGCCGTGGGAGGGACAGTTGGTGTCAAGGTTGGTAAGAGGACTGGAGGGTGGTGGCATGTCTAGCCCCAAAGGAACAGGCCCTGGGCTGCTGATGGTGAGTCTGTCTTCCTCTTGTGTAGTTAGAGAAGGTAGAAGATGCCGCCTCCTTGTACCTTTAGCAGGTATATACCTAGGAGTAGAATTGCTAGGTCATATGGTAGTTCTATTTTTAATTTTTTTAGGAATCATCACACTGTTTTCCACAATGGTTGTACCATTTTACATTCCTACAAGGAGCTCTGGTGGTGCAGTAGTTAAGGTATTTAGCTGCTAACCAAAAAGTTGATGGTTTGAGCCCACCACCTGGTCTTTGGAAGAAAGATGGGGCAGTCTGCTTCCTTAAATATTTACAGCCTTGGAAACTTGATGGGGGTTGCTATGAGTCAGAATCAACTGGATGGCAGTGTGTTTGGGTTTTTTTGGTCTACCAGAAGTAGATAAGGATTCCAGTCTCCCCACATCCTTGCCAGCATTTGTTGTTTTCTGTTTTCTTGATCACTGTCATTTCAGCAGGGGTGAGCTACTATCTCATTGTAGTTTTCATTTGCATTTCTCTAATGGCTAGTGACAGTGAGCATCTTCTCATATGTTTGTTGGCTGCTTGAATATGCTCTTTGGAGAAGTGTTTGTTAATGTCCTTTGCCCAATTTCAACTGGGTTATTTGTCTCTTTGTTAAGTTGTAGAAGTTCTATATACATTTTAAATATTAAACTCTTATTAGATATATTGTTCCCAAAGATTTCAGAAGAGACTTTTAATGGCAATTTATCTTGTAAAATAAAGGGGCACCAGGAGAAGTCAATGGGGAAAATAAATCTTTTCAACAAATGATGCTGGAATAACTGGATAAACAAATGGAGGGGGGTGGTGAACTTCAAGCCTACTTCAAACCATATATAAAAATTAATTTAAGTAGATAACAGACCTAAATGTAAAAGCTAAAATAATTACCCTTCTTAAAGAAAATATCCCTGCCACCTTGGGGCAAAGATTTCTTAGGAATTGAAAAGCATTAACCGTAAAAGAAAATTATTGATATTAGACTTCATCAGCATTTAGAACTTTTCATGCCTTATACCATATGCAAAAATTAACTCAAAATGAATTGTAGACCTGTATGTTAAACCTAAAACTATAAAACTTCTAGAAGAAAACATAGGAGAAAATCTTGTGAATTTGGGTTTGCAAAGATTTTTTTAGCTACCACACCGAAAGTATGATCCATAAAAGAAAAACAAAAAGATAAATTGGGCTTAAAATTTAAAACTTTTGTTCTGTTAAAAGAAAAAAAAGATAAGCTTTCAAGTAGGAAAAATATTTGCAAAACATATATCTGATAAAGGACTTGTATCCAGAGTGTATGAAGAACTCTCAGACTGATTCTACTTCTGTAAAACACTAGAAAATATAAACTAATATATAGTGACAGAAGGAAAATCAATACTTCTCTGAGGTGGAGTTGTGAGAAGCAGGAGAAAAGGATTACCAAGAAGGATGAGAAAACTTTTGGGAATGATGGATATGTTCATATCTTGGTTATGGTCCTGTTTCATATTCCAAAATTTATAAAGTTGTTCACTTTAAATATGTGGCAGCTTATTGAATGTCAGTTATACCTCAATAAAGCTGTTTAAAAAACAAAAACATTTCTGCTCAGCAAACAATACTAATAAGAAAATAGAAAGAAAAGCCACAGACTGGGAGAAAATATTCACACTGTATATATCTTTTATAAAGTATTTATATCAAGAATGTATTTGAAAGCTCTTCAAAATGAATAATAAAAAGACAAAAACCCAATAAAAAATAGACAAAGACTTGAACTGACCTTTTACAAAAGACATGCAAAAAATAACGCAGCGCACTGCCTCCAGTCGGATCCGACTGTAGCGACCTCTCCTTGGGTTTCCGAGGCAGTATCATTATGCAAGGAATGTCACACCTTTTCAGTTGTCCCAGTCTGGAGTGTCCTTGGGATTACTCAGATATCAAGGTTGTCAAAGAATTCACGTTGCTTGGTTCTACAATCGAGGCCAATGGAAGCAGCAGTCAGGA